TTTCATCTCTAATGTACAATGCTTATTTTGTTTGTTTACATTTATAAATTTAACAAAATACATTTACGTGTTCTTAGCATTGAAAGTTTTCACATTTTAAGTATCGCATTCGCGTTCTTCTGTCCTTGGCTCGAGGGCATTCATCATATTTTTTATACTTGGTTGCTTCGAATTTCCTATATTCATTTGAATTATTCCTCGAAACCTCTGCTCTTCTTTTGCATACAGTACGTCAGTTTCTAGGTCAAGTATTAATCTCTGATCGTTGTTCAATACATTAAAGCTAAGTCCCTCAAAAACAGGTATCTACGTCTGTATCTGGTTGATGGATTAGCAGTTGAAAGTAATATAATTCGAGCATTTACTGCAGCAACCATTGGCATTGAAAAGAAAATTACCATTGGGCCACTTCCTTGGTATTCTGGCAATTGAATAACTTGCTGCCATTCATCCACAGTATCCACGCTCACATGTCATATTATAAAAACATATAATTTCTGGCGTTTTCTTTTCTCCAATAGTATCATCTATAGCATTATTGTTATGTAATGTTAAAAGCATGACAACAGTTTTTCCATTTTTGGAAAATAAGAAATTTAAGTTTTGTCTTCTTCGAAACCAAACAGTGTAAAAAGTTTTCCTATTTTCATCTTCAGTTTCTGAAATACAGTCTTCATCACTTTCAAATATTTCTAATAAATCTCGCAGCCATTGCATTTTCAATTCATAGGGAGTCATTCTTTTTTGACATAATGCGCTTACAAATCTTTAAAAATTTAATTTGAAATACTTAAAAATCAGTTGCAAGTAGAAATATTTACTGTTACACTCTAGAAATAAATTTCTTAAATATATATTCAGTCAAAAAGACACGCGGACAGTCGCTTGGGGTGTCTCATACCCCAGTTGCAATAAAATACTGATTAATATTTTTCTGAAACAAACAGACAATGGAAAAGTGGTTCTGAAAGTCAACCACTACTAGAAACTCAGCTACTGAATGCAGCACAAAATTTCAGTTTAACAAGTTAGGAATATTCCATTTATTTGTAGAGTTGGGGTATAATATAACCCACGCGCTATCCCGCGGGTTAAATAAAGTCAGAGAATTTTGGCATTGTGCCATTGTCCTATGTACACCATGATCTGTTTTCACTTGAAAACACATCAGAGACTGGATCAAATTTTTACTCATAAAATTTGATCATTTGCGAAGTACAACTTAATTTCTTTTCCATTCTCTACTGTTAGGTAAAACATCATATTTATGAAGAATTTTTTCCCCCAATGGTGAGCACTCAGCCAACTTTGGCTTGGTTTCGACTAAGGCCAGCAGAAGTGGTGGTCATTTTATTATGAAGGCACTTAATAAGTGGGCCACCTTTGTCTCCTATGAAGGGATGGACAGTTACAACCATGCCTTCTCCGGGATTCAAACCCTCTGGTCTTGCATTTGGCTTCCCTAACCATTATAGTATCTGAGTGGCTATTTCTGAAGAAATGTGGTGATTTTTTCCCCTTTTTCTTCCCCACCTCCCTGCAGCTGGCAAATTTCACAGTCCCATTATATTTCCTTACTAGGAAAGCTGCAATGGCTAAGTGGTTAGACCACTGAATACTGGTAGCTCAATTAAGTGTGGATTACATCGTAGGCAAATGGTCTAGCTGCATGGATGGATTTCCCTTTATGTAACATGAATGTCAGTCGGTTTGTCCCAGAATGTCCTCCACAAAAGTATTGTTCCTCATAGGACTTTGACATATCCTTCTCATGGACCTCATAACTTGTGACTTTGCTATATTCAAATAACCTAATCTAACGATTCTTACTAGGAAATACGGCATTCACTGCAACAAAAACTAACACTGATAGCTGTTAGATTTGAAGGTGGAAAGATAGCCTTTGGTGAAAATTCATGCGTGCCTGCTACACACATGTGCATACTTAGATTTCCACATAAATACACTGTTAGCCATTAAAATTGCTACTCCATGAAAGCAGCATGCAATAGATGTCAAATTTGCATGAAATGTGTTACATGTTAGGATATGCAAATGATTAGCATTCAATGTCTTTCACAAAGCAAGTATAATGTCTTTTACATGGTGTATAAATGGGGAAACTTCACAGTGGGTTTCTCATTTGAAAATTAGGTTTGGGCATTGGTTGTTTGTGTAAAGGTCATTTTATGTCTTATTTAAGAAGACAAAACTCTTACCACCATGGGATTGTGGTGTATCATTTATGACATTTCTGTTCATGTTGGTTGGATCCCATAAGTGTTAGGTGAATATGGAATTGATGGGTCTAGGAAGGCCACACTGGATGCCATGTTAGATCTTGCAGTTGTCGCCACTAATGGCCCAAGATGACAGACATGTTGTCTTCTCAGCTTTATGAGATTGTATAACCACATCACCTACCCTATATCGGGAACTTGGTTCGAGTGTAGGATGACAAGTGTCTGTAAAGATAGTGCAATGACCTCTGCAGCAACAGAGTCTGTCAACATGGCAACCATTGTTTTTGCTTTCCTTGATGCTGCAGTGGAGGCAGATATGCGTACAATGGTGCAATGAATAATGATACTGGACAGAGTTGCACCAAGTTGTCTTTTCGGATGAATTCCAATTTTGCATACAGCATCATGATGGATGGACCCGTGTATGGAAACACTGATGAGTACGAATGTTACCAGTCTGTATTCATCATTTCATACAGGCCTAGTATGTATGTATATAATGTGCTAAAATGGGTTTAAGTACACATCTCTTGTTTGCAAAACCAGTAATGTGGACAGTCATCATTATATTTCCAATGTACTTTCTTTGATACAGTGAGTATTTGACTGTTCCCAATGTCAGCACGTTCTCCAGATCTCTCACCATTTGAGGACTTTGGCATGGGTTGGCAAGAGACTGGCTCTTTACCACTTGCTAGCCATTACAGTTGATGAACTCTTGTGTATAGTTGCAGCCACATGGAATGAAATACCTGCATCTTTTTATACAAACACAGTATACTTGATGCCCAGCTGGGTTACAGCCATTGTTGCTGCCAGAGGTGGTAGTTTTATGTACTGAATTCTGCACATTTTGTATTTCCAACCCTGCAAATTTGATCTTATCTATTAATCTGCACATTATGTATTCCAAAACCATCTAAAAATTTAATTCTATCTTCCTTCATTATTCTGTGTATGTACGATAAATAAGATTATGCTATTTACTTTCCTTTGTGGTGTAGCAATTTTAATTGCCAGCCATATACATTTTGATATTATGGGTTGCCTATTTTGGCAGTATAGTGTATTGCCTCATTAATATGTGGGAAGGGTACTTTAAATAATCAAAAAGTACAAATATTTTTATATTTCCAAGCATTTTTTAGGTACATAAATTTACAACTGTGTGAATTTTGTAGTACATGATAATATTAAATGGGTTTTATAATCTCGTATAATTCATTAAATTAAATTTTAAAGAAATTAGGAATAGCAGTTTTTATTTTGTGGGATCATACAGCCATGTCTCATATGTATTTAATGAAAATAGTTTACTGCTGATGAAAATGCTTGGTATTTATAAGTTGTTTACTAGATACTATTTCACTGTGTTTAAAAAAATTATTAAAATTATTTTTCAAAACAAATTATAAAGTAAATTTTCAATAGATAAATGTGCAGTTGTATGAATTTTGCATTTACAGAAAGGTATTAAATGTTTTGCATTCTCTATAATTTAATGAATTAAATTTGGAAAAGATCAATGATAGGAATTTTAATTGCTATCATTGATCAATATTAATGATAGTAATTTAAGTATTTGTGTTAATGAAAATAATTTAATGTAGATAAAAATACGTTGTTCATCTGATAATGTTTTATTATGCATTTTAGAAGTATATCAGATATTATTGAGATATTTCGACAAAAGTATTTTTCTAATGAATAAATTACATATCTAAGGAGATTAAAAAATTATTTCTTTGTGAATGTTTTTCATTCGTATGTTATGATAGTTTTTTTAACAAAGCGATTTACAGATCCATGTACTTCCCCAATAAGGATTTAAAAGTATACTGTTTTCAGTAATAGCAAGATAAAAAGTCCTCACATAAATAGGTTTCTCCTTTAAGAAGTCAAAATTTTTAGTTCCAAAATAAAATTCCTGAAGTGTACACAAATTTTTAACTGGATATGAAATCACTGTTTATTAAGTTTTCTTGCTTATATAGTCTTATCTCATTGTATCAAGAACATGTATTTTATGAAATTTTATTAGCTTACTGAATTTTTAAAGGTATACATCCAAAAATTTTTATTCCAGAGTTTTATTTCTGTTAAAGATATTTTTTAAGTGTCAATTCATTAAATGATTTCTTACTATTTATTGAACTGTGCATATGTGCTACAATGCATGAACTATATTAACTCAATGACTAAAAGATTTTGCGTAGCTTTCAGTTGGTATAGCTGATATGTCAAGGATGGTAATGTGTTTGTATTTTAGTTAACTGGCTGATATAATTTAATCTATACATGCAAAATTTGATCAATACAATGCCCAGATGATTGCTGCTACATACATCTGTATTGTATCGTATCTCAGGAACTTGCTACATTTTTGTTAAATTATTTGCACTATGATTTAAAAAAAAAAAAAACTCTTTTCATGATGGGTTAGTTATATTACAGCCCAAAAATAAAATGTACTTGATAACTGTATTACAGATCATTATAAATACATATAATTGTCTATTTATATGCTGTTGGCAATTTTTGTATTGTTCATTATTGGCATTTCATTATCCATTTTAAAGTCAGAAAAATTAACTTGAATATGCCAGTTATTATGCTGTTTTCTTTTAATAAGCTGTTTTAATAAATTTGTTATTCTGTGATCCTAGAAGAACTATTTAAGATGCTTCTACTGTATTATATAGTTTTGATGAAGAGTATGTTTTGAAATTTAATTTTATGCCGTATTTTATTTTAAAGGCACAGTGTTGTTAAAATGTTTGAAGAGAGTAGTCAACCAACAGCCAGAGCCCCATTACGTCGTGGCTTCAGTTTAGATGCTGTTGCAAAGCGTAATTTATTCAAAATGCAAGATAAAACTTCGATTGATAAAATAGAGTATGAACAGTGTAAATTAGAACCTAAGGTTGAAGGACGTATTATTATTTTAAGTGATGAGGTAAGTTATCTTTTGCATTTTACATTTCATTTCGTTCTGTATTAAACACAAAAGGATAAAAAACTTTAAACTGAGTGTAATAAAACTAGTCATACATTCTGATAACAAATTATAAACCAAACTAAATTTCTTCTTTCTTGTTGAGTTGCTACGAAGGAATTCTACTGATCAATGATATGCAGTGGTTGCCATTTCATCTTATTTACAATGATACGGTAACTCAGAGATAGATATTAATTGAGCAGTATAAAGGAACAGCTGTTCATAATTTAAAAGCATTATAATGTGATGTAGTGCCTGGCTACTTTATGTCTGTAACCAACTTAATTTTGTCTTTTTTTTTTTTTTGTTTACTGTTTTCTTTGTTTGTACTTTATGTATGAAATGTTTGAAATTTAAAAAATGTATTATTGAAGAAAAGAAAGGTTATTAGACTTAAATAGTCAAGCAACTTAAATAATCTAAACTTTAACATAAATATAACTGAATTAAAATGCAATAGGAAGAAAGTCTTTTTTTGTTAACATAAATAATAATACATAATAATAAATAATAAATAATAAAATGTAATTAGGGAAAATTTTCTCCTATCGTTGAGGCAATGTATTTTTTTTTTTTTTTTTTTGGCATAGAGATCTTTCTTACTAAACTTTCTATATGAGTTTGCTCCATCACAAAAGTTTTTAGTGCATCAACTGTGGGTTCTAAACTCAGCTGCCTTTCAAATCAAACTAATGCTGGAGTCTGCAGTTCTGGATAGAAATTAATCTCTGGAAGATGTTGTTTCTGTCTTTTGTGCTTGGTTCAGACAGCAGTTCTACTATTTTAATACTTTTCAGAAGGATCTCTTGAAGCATTCTGGTATCTTGCCACTTCCATAATTATTTGACTTGCTTTGAAATGACTAAACCTTTTCATCTAAAAAATTCGTCCTAATCACCACCATAAGAATTGTTTTTTAATCAATAAGCGCTGAAATTAAAGCTTGTATTTGCAAAAGTTGAGAGGAAATGAACTTTGAGCAAGCACATGCCATGCCTTTAGATAACAGTATATTTTTATTCATAATTAGAAAGAGATTGATCAAATTGTAACAGACAAGGAAACAAGGAGTTTTGTTCATTTCTTATAATCTTAATAATAATAATAATAATAATAATAATAATAACAGACTGATTAATTACTTCATGAAATAGCTTCACGTTCATGTATGCAAGAAAAATTTTGGACACTGGCATATGTGTATGCCTTCGAACAAATTTGTGATCATAATGAGTTTATGATATAAAGAAATTTTATTTTGTAATAAATTATTAATTTGTCAAGATATTTCCAAATCTCTGGGTAAGGCTCTGTTTCAACAGTTTCAATTATTACAACAACTGTTTTTCATGCAAATGTTAGACTTTTTGATTAAGACAAAATTATAGCAACCCAGTGTTTTATTGGGCTGTCAAATTCATTAAAATTGTAATTTGAAGAACTACTGTTTCATGCAGAAATCTTAGTTATCTCAGTTATTTATTTCAAATGACTGTACAGGATTATCACTAAAGTTTTCAGAATACTTGAAGCGAAAATCTTGATAATGAGCTAATGAAAAAAGCTTGAATATTGCATATAGATTTATTTGCAAAATTTAGGAAAATTAATTCAAAATTTCAAGGACAAAATGCAAGTTAATCACAGCCAAATTTAAAATTTTGGCATTTATTACAAAATTATTTCTTAAATGAAAATTGAGATGACAGGAATTTTTACTGCAAGTGAAAAAAGGAAGTAAAATATTTCATGATGCTATTTAAGGGATTTTGAATAAATTTATTTTTTACCAGTAATATATAGCTAATAAATTTATTACTCTGTGGTCCTAAAAGAACTATTTAAGGTGCTTCTACTGCATTATGTAGTTTTGATGAAAAGTATGTTTTGAAATTTAACCAGTAATAATATAGCTCATGATCACAGATGAAGAGTGAAATGAATCATAAAATAATCTTACGCTGAAAGCTAAATTTTAAAATTCTGCCAATAATTTTGGTTATGCAAGACCATTTGTGGTCATTATTTTGCTGTGGAGTTAATCAACAAGTAATTATTTATATCGCTTCTACCATCCCATATGGTAGAATGAGGTTTTAGCACTGCATGTCATTTTTTGGCAAAACAATGCTTATTTCTTAAAGTTGCCACACCTCATATGTACATGCAATTTTTATTTTAAAGAATATGCATATTATTTGGTAAATTTTTAGTTAGATAAGTAATTTTTTCAAAGCAATAACAGATATTTGATAAAGAAATAGTTTTTTTTTAAATATATTTCGTATACAAAATATGTGTGACCCTTTTATGTAACACACACTTTTACTACTAAAATGTAGGTCATAAAAGGGAATTTTGAACAGTTTGAAATACTTATATTGTATTGTCTAAGAAAAGATGATTGAGAAAACAGTTATATTGCTTGATACTTTTAATTCTGTTCTCCTAACATATAGTATTAATAATTATTTAGGGTGAGTCAAATTATTATGGCAAACAATTTAATTGACTTGTATTTTTCTGTGATATCTCAAATTAAACTTTAATTATCTAAATCTCTTGCCAAACATTACAGATGCTTTGTGTGAGATTATTTTGTTATGGAACACACATCTAATCCATATGAGTTTAAAGCATATCCAACATTACTGATATAATGGAAATCTAAGTCTGTAGCTAAATTCTTTTGTCATGGAACACACATCCAATCCATTTCAGTTTGCATGAGTTAAATCATGGAGCATATTTGACATTATTGACATAATGGCAAAACATAATGTGTCTTTTGATTTCATCAAAGTCAGATAACAATGAACACAAAATCAGTATCTTTAAAATAACCCCACCAAAATTTTTAGGAGTGAGGTCTGGCAAATTTTAAGGCCAAGTGAGAAATACATTGTTGTTTGCATCTTTGTGTCATTTCTAATGCTTTGTAATATATTCATTGAGGTGTTTTATGAATATCCAAATGCCAGTGTAGTGCTGATGTCCTGAAATATGTTGCCAAATCTGTATTATATCTAAATAAGTACTTCAGTAGCAGTAAGCTCAGAGAACAAAACAAAACAAAAATTCTACAGTCCTTTTTTTTTCTGCAAAAGACTCTAACCTTGGGTGAATCTTGCACTTGAATCGTAATCTTGTGGATTTTCCATGCTCCATATGAAAATTCACAACTCTATTTACATGAAAAGCTGTCTCATCTTTAAACACATTATGTCTGGCAAAGACATCATTTCAACATTCTATATAATCGGGTAAAATACTTTTTTTGGGGGTTGGTCATAATCATGCATGGGCTGTTTAAATTATTCTTCCTGCTTTTTATGTTTTCAGAAAGAAACACTAAATCTGCCTGCTCTGTTCCTTTACCCAGACCTTTTTAATTGTCAGTACCATTATAAAATGCTTTGATGGTCGATCACTGCCACATCTTCAGCTAAATGTTGAGCCATAACTAAGGATGTTGTTTTTGCATACAGTGGAGCACAAAATGCTTTTTGCTCAGATATCACCATTTTGAAAACCCAGTACATTGTGGGTTACATCCTTTCAAAATTCTGCTCATATAATCAGGAGAAATACTTTTGGGGGGGGCATAATCATGCATGGGCTATTTAAATATGCTTTTTATGTTTTCAGAGGAAGCATTAAATCTGCCTGTTCTGTTTCATTATCCTAACCTTTTTAATTGTCAGTACCATTATAAAATATTTTGTCTAAAGATCACAGCCATATCTTCAGCAAAATGAATTATTATGTTGAGCTATAACTAAGAAAATTGTCTTTGCATACAGTGGAGCACAAAATACTTTTTCCTCAGATATCACCATTTTGAAAACCCGGTGCATTGTGGATTACACATTTATTAAACGTATTCCAATGCCATCTGTGTGAAACGTGAATAGTTGAATTTTAATTTGATGTATCACATATAAATATGTGGCAGTTACATTGTTTGCTATAATTATTTGTAACAGGATGAATTTTTTTGACTTATTGTGTTATAACTTTATAGAATACCAGTTAATTGATCTAACTTGGAAAGCTTTATGTTATTTTTTTATCATTCGCTTATGTAAATCATGTCTGCAGCTTTTTATTTAAAGCAGTAAGAATTTGAATTTCTCTGCTTAAAGAATGATTATTACCATAGAAAATTTACTTAAGGCTCAAGCCCTATTTTAGGACGCAATTGTAAATGTTCTTTATTTTGTAGGTTAAGGAACAGTTAGAAAAGAAAAGGCAAGAATTTATAGGTCTTACAGTAGATCCTGTGATTGAAGAAGATGAAGAAAGTTTAGAACAAAATTGATGATGTCTATTTTTCTGATGTTTCAGGCTTATTTTCCTATCTTTTTTAGAAACAAAGAAATTGCTATACAAAAAAAAATTATGTAGTTTTTTTTTTTTTTTTTTTTTACACTTGTTAAATACTTTTTGATGGTTATTGTATTATTTTCATTCCAGTTATATAATGCGGTTTAATTATAAACCATATAAATTTTATCTTTAAAAAATGGTGATTGCTTTTAGAAGTGTGTTGCGAGTTTATGTAGACTAATATAATTTTTATGAAAATGAAATCTGTCTTTATAATCATGAGTCTACAAATTCTAGGCTAATTTTAAAATTATTAGAGTGCTTAAGTAGCAAATTAACATAATCAGGCAAATGATCTTCATAATTTTGCAGAATTTGCTTTATAGCATATATAGACTTACATATATTTAAAGTAGTTGCATATTTTGTGTTTGATTCTTTTTACATTTATATTACGCATTCTGTGTAATAGCAACCAACATAAAAACTGACTGTATTGAAAGTTTAAGAATAAAGAATACCAAACTAATCTTGATTTTGTGAAGCAAACTCCATAGAAAGTGAAGTAACTGATATTACTGTTTAAAATTTTGAGGATTAGTTTCTTATTGATGCTAGGATACATTTGCATGGGTATAAGTTAAAATGTTTAAAAAGTTGCAAATAATTTTTGGAATTTGCTATATGTTGTTTTTTATATTATCTCATGTACTATTTATATTCCAGCTAAAGCAATAATGATTAAAATTAGAGTAAATCTAACATTAATCCAGATTATTTATTTTTTTACATATTCCCAATTAAAGGCAGAAGAATCCATTGAATTTTGTTAAATTTGTAGACTCTTGTTTATAAAAGTCAAGAAGTACTGTATATAGTTATAATAAAAATTAAAAGTTTGATATTCGTTTAAAAATAAATTTGAATTTTTTTCTTTTTAAAATGTGTGAATATGTAAAACCGGTGATTGTTAGTTGCTTTTATAATCTTCAAAAGACTTGATTCCTGAAAGATCTGTTAGAATCGTATGTGTATGTGAATATATCATCTGAGACTGATTGCAGCATTCACATTATGTGATATTTGTTCCTGCAAATATGTGCTTGTTGGAATTATTAGTTTGAACGTACTAATAATATTTAAATGCATAAACAAGAATAATTCAGATAATTATGTTGGGAAAAAAAATCGGTTTTGGCTGCTGTTGAACATTTATGAAAAGGAATAAATTCCAAATGCATTTTTTTAGACTGTGAAACAGTGCCTTTCTCTCTTGAAAAAATTAATTCCTAGCCTTTTACTCTAAATTTAAATTGAGCGATAGGTTTATCTCTCTGTATATTTTAGCCTTTTACAATGATAGTGCATATTGCTGAAATTTTCATATATATTTTTTCTAGTTCTCTGATTTATTTAAAAAAAAAATTATTAGTAGTCTTAATGCCATGTTTAGTTTATCATTAGTTTTAGGATGAAAGAAAAGGGGAAGGAAAAATTTTTAGAGCTTTTTAAAATTTTATGACTGAATTCTATGATTAATATTTAATTTTAAGAATTAATTTTAATTTAGATTATAAAAAAGAAGTTGATACCGTATTTGATTAATACTAGACTACTGACACATTGAGAAAATATCTTTTTGGGGGAGGGGTTTTGTTAATCTTGTTGGTTAAAAGTTTAAGAAAAATAATAAAAAAGAAAATTTACTTATAAGTATAAAGTCCGAACCGACGTCCATTATCCATAAGGTCTATATCAGACCTCAACCACAACTTTTTTTTTTGTATGCTTTTACACGCACGTCATGGTTTAAGCAAGCTCATTAATGTTTAACGATGTAATAGCTAGACTAAATATCTTTTCCGATCTAAGGCATTTCAGTTAATTGAATTGTGCTTTCCTTAAATTCTAATTTGAATGCTTTATTTTTGCGACTCTTAGACAATCTTATGAAAATAGCTGCCTTTGATCTGTCAAAAGAGTTTCCATCTGAACTGCAAGGATCTACAAAGCGAAAGCACATTCTATGTACCACTTCCGATATGAGAAAGTGACAGAGAGGTTTTGAAAGAAAAGTTCAATTCCCCAAATGTCGATATTCGGACCCGCATTACAGACTAAACGTGGAATGAACAGAAATTATGTCTGGTTATAGATTAAATAGCACAAAAAACAGGCAATTAAACAACTTACATGAAAGAAATGCTTAAACGTAAACAATCAATTTAAGCTTTTTGTTTGTGTAAATTTGATACACCTTTTGATCATCATTGTTCTATTTCATAATACGGTTTCATATTTTTATTGTGTAATCTGATGCCATCTACATTTAATTGATGATCTCTAATCTGAAAACCCTAATCCGGAATCGCTGAAGTCCCGATGAGTCTGGATTACGGACTTTGTACTGTATTACTATGTTATTTCTGCTAAGGACAAAAATGAGTCAGTTGGTTTGTTTTGTTCATACTAGTGTTACTTGAATTCCAGAATTTTATAAAAAAATAATTTTCATTTAAATCTGCTCTACTAATAATGTTCTGATATGCAAATCATTATTGCATTCAAAAATATCCTGGAGATCTGCAGTTTTTAAATAGTTAATAAATCTTTTGATGTATTGCGTAGAGAAATTACTAAGAACTCTTTTTTGCTAATATCTAAAGGAGTAGGCATAGAAAAACCACTAAAAAATATTGAAAAAAAATTGATGTTGATTAGTATTGTGTCTGGTTTGTGAAGTAGTATATGTTTTCCATAAAGCTGGTGTCATCTGTGTGAAACTAAAGTTTATATGGATCAAACAAATCCATTACGTTAAGTTTGTATAAGGGAAAAAAGTACAGAATTATGATGCATTTGAATACTGCATTCCAATATGTTTAAGTTGCAATAACTATAATTGTTACACATATTAGGTATATTTATTGGATATCTTCGTGTTGTTTGTAATGAAAGGAATCAGTTCAATATTTTTATTTCCATTTTACCTTATCTTTTTATTTTAATTGTATTATACTGATATCATAAAATAATTTCTTGAATTATAAGGGGTGGAAGTTGCTCAGATTTTTTGCACAGCTTTATTTGTGGGTATGTATATGTATATATATGTGTGCATGTGTGTGTGTATGTAATCTAACTTATTTCTTTCTACTTTTGCTATATTGTGGCAAATTATTTTGGATTTAGTAATTTTCACACATATCTTTATATGAATATTTTGCATACATTCTACAGAGAGAAAATTATAAATAAAGATTATAAATAAATGGATAAAATATCTAGTTTTAAGGTAATTTAACACAAATAGTATTAAGAAGTGTCTAGTGTTAGCCTTTAATACATTAAGACTGAAAAATTTCTCTGCTGTGGATTTTAATATTAATATTATATATAAAATAAACTGAATAATATTTAAAATATATAGTATTTTTATGAATATTTTCTCTATATTATTAAAAAGCCAAATATTAACTGCAGTTTTATTTCATATCTTTAAGTGGTAAAAAGAAGATATCTTTCCCCCCTCCCCCCCAAAAAAATTAAACTATAAAAATGTTCAAACCTGTAAATGATTAGTTCTCAAAGTGTGAGTCAATGGACATTTTTGTTGTGTCACAAAAAAATTCAAGTGCTGTTTTTTTAATTGAATATTTAAACATGTCTACTTGTAATTGTGAATTAATTTATGATTATCAATCAATTATTAATAGTTAAATATGTTTGTTTTTACTTCATCATTAAATTATTTGAGTTTAGATAACTTCCCTCCCCCAGAGTAATTATACGTTTTTGGATCATGATAGATTGCAACTGTATGCATATAGGTCATAAGGATATGAAAAACATTGAATCTGTGATATGAAAAATCGTTTGAAATATGATTTATTTTAATGAAAAATGTATTAAGCAAAAGTATGATATCCAGAATAATTTGTCAAGATCCTTACTAGTATTTAACAATCTCAGATTATTTAATAGAAAATAATCTGAGGTATTTACTTGTTCTTTATTTGTGATTATTTAATATACCAAAAATATACTTTTTTAAATATTCTACTTAATATAGTCATTCATTGATAAATATATTCTATTTTATAGTTGTTTTTTTTAATTGCATTTATAAAATGTGCTGTACTGTTTCACTGCATTATCTTTTTTCTTCCTTGTTGTTACTACTGGTATGCTATAAAATGTTGTTATTATAAAAAGTGATGCTGTTATTTTATTTTATTTTTTTATTTTGCATTTTAAAATTTTAAGTATGTTATTTATCTTTCTTTTGCATTCAGCAGATTTGTAAATTAGATATGTATTGGAATATTTTATATTTTTGTTTTTAGCTGTGTTCTATATATATTAGCCTCCAATGCTCTTCCCCTCTTGTTAAATCAAATTATTTTTAGTGTGATACTTTAGATTTGGTGACACATTTCTTTGTTGGCCTCTTTTATTGATTAAAGTTTTATATTTAAGGATTTGGGACTAATTTGCATATCTTTTAAAAATGTTTCATACAAACATTCATAACAGAAGTTATATATGTGTGCGTGTACTGTGCAACACTTGCAAATTAGATATATTGGAGATTCATTGAAACCAGTATCCCATGCTTTTTCAGTTCTTATTTTCTTAAACATTTATTTGGCACTTTATTATTGCTTTAAAACCTTTCTTTATGTTTATGAATAGAAAGTTTTAAATTAAAACTAAGGTGCATTTAAAATTTTCAGAGGCAGTTTGAAAATTTTATTTAAGTTTATGCCAAACTTTGCACAGCCTCTTAGAAGATGACATAATGTTAGGTATTTTTCTGTATTTAGATTTAGATTCAATTATACTCATATTAAAAGAAACAAAGACGCACAGACAAAAATAAATAAATAAAAGGCATACTTGAATAGCATTTTTTTAATATAATGTTTTGATTTTGTAATCTATTCTGTCTTAATATCTTGCCTATCCAATTTAAACTTTTTCCCATTAATTATTGCTATTTTTAAATAATTCATATGATTATTTTACACATGTAGATCTATACTTTTCAGTGAAAATTAGTTTTGCAGTAAATCTGTAGTATGTCATCATATTTTTTATTGTTTCTTTAATGCAATATTGTTCATTCAGAGGAAAAAGGTCCTCTTTGGAGACTTTTATAATTGCTCTTTTTCAGTTTATAAGTTCTGATCTTCCAGTTGTTATTGATTAATCAGATGTTATAAATAAACAAATTTTCATTATATTTGGGGTGATGGAGGGGGCAAATGCATTCAAAGAAAGTAGCTATGATGAAAATTATATAAGGGAATTCAAAGTGTGCATTTAAAACTGTGAATATAATAAAAATAACTTTTTGGAATAAGGTTTTGCACATTTGTGACAAAAGAACACTTTCTGTGTTACCTGAAATGGTTTTAACTTTTTTAGCTTTAAAAAAAAATAAATAAATAATTCTTTAAAAACTGTATTCTGTTTTTTGAATCTTTTCGACTGTTATTCTTTGTTTAATTTCCAGAAATATAAAAATGATTCAGAGTTTTCTTGCAAATACTCTGGTATCCATAAAGGTATAATATGTACCTTACATGGAATGTTGTAATGTTTCAGGTCTTGAAGCCATTCTGTGTTATGAATTACTAAATTATTTTAACTTAATGCAGTTTTCTAAAACATGGCCACAGAAATAAAATTTGGATTAAGTTGCAGGTATATTTGACTTTAAATTTATGAACTGATTATCATGCTTACTTATGCTTGCAGTTATAATTAGTCCTTTTTAACATTATTATAAGGAAAATTTCCGTTTTGATCATTCAGTTATTTCTGTTATAATCTTGTTGAGTTTTTTCAGATTAATATAATAAAAAGTGTGCAAATAAAATGTGATGACTGTGAATGAAAGGTTATGC